GTTTTTATTGGACTTCAGAAGGCTTAGGGATTTACCCATTATCCACCTGGACCATGCGGGCATTGTCCATCTCTCATTCACAGACCCAGTAACGTTAAATTGTTCTCAGAATACAGTAGTGTACGAGCAATTACCTAGTGGCCCCTAGAGGTGCCCTGCCGACATCGGTGTGCATTTCTTTGAGAAGGATAAATTCTGGATACTGAGAAAACACTTCCTAAAGCTCCACTAAGCTGACCCAAGAGTAACATATGGACAGCTGACACTATATTTCAATCAAATGTTAAAGGAAAGTAAGACAGTTTTAAATAATAGTGTACAGATGGACACATGACTGCAGGATTTAGAGACACTACGGTGAGCTGTGCTGTGGGATAGATGCATTTAAACAATGAACTTGCTTGTGTTACCTTTTGAGACATGAAATTGGAGGTCTCGGTTTCTCTTGATGTACTTGTGATATCACAAACTGCTTAAACAGCAGACCCGAGGACTGCTTCCTTAGGTCACAGTGATGCCAAATCCCACAGGACAGACAAGCCTTTAATCAGTCCCAGAGGGTAAGTGAAAGAGCATTTTTGTACTTACTGTGTTCTCAAACCCTATTTCTAATATCTACGTACACCTCTTTGTCAAACTTTTAGTCAGATATTTCTATATTAATTTTAAAGTTGGTTTACTTAGTCTTTCATTGCTGTTGAATTTCAGTGCAAACATACAAGATTTGTCATTTGTTTGATTACTTAACCAGTGTTCAGAGACTGTGTGCTCCAGGAGTAGTAGAACACTGAAAGGTATACAGTGGGACCAGCATCAACCGTGAATGACAATGCAATTTATTGCTCTCCTGTAACCTTCGGGCAAAGGCTCTTACCATTAATGCAATGCATCTATATTCTTAATTTGTGAAAGACTGACCACAAAGAAATGTTCACCGTACGAATGCAACAAAAGAAAGGACAGATATTTAATCATGCGAGCTTTACGTGGCTAAGATTGCCACAGCAAATTAACGTCCTTCTTAAGCATACATTTTACTTACTGACTTGCATATCACTTCCTTTGAATACTCCTAACATATTCAGTAACATAAAATGCACATGTAATAATTCAATTTAGCTATTTCACTCTAAGCCAGGATCACATAGTTCCTCTGCACCTTCTTCTGGAGAAATCTTAAAATCACTGCATGGCTTTACTGAGCAAGGGAAGTTGTGGAAGACATATACACACACAGTTATGGTGGGAAGTGTAGTATTATAGTTTCTTTGCACTGTTCAGTGAGGCTGCTGGCAACCTGTACAGTTCAGTCTGCAAAAAATCTTAGTAATATTCCATTTGTGCTCACTTTTTATGCTTGGGCTTTGCCTGAATGTTTCAGCTACATTATTTCAACTGTTTTTAGTTATAGGGAAAGATGAAACAAAGAGGTAAGAATTCTGGCCACTTTGTATTTAATATTTAATCGATTATAAATCACCTTGGCTTCAATGAGGGATTGCTGCATCAATACGAATGAGTGCCTTTCTTGGTCTGATAAACATCTATTTTAATTCCAAAGCTCTGGATTGCTGAAAATGACACAATGAATATACATGATAATTTCATAGGCACTTAGATTCTACTCTTGATCAGAGCTGCAGTTGTTCCAAATTGCACAGAAGACATTCAGTATTTTGCAACACCTTCTGTAAGATGAAAGTGGGAGGAATAGGAGTACTACTCTGATAAATCACCCATGAGGTTAAATAGAAGCAAAAATGCATGTGGTTTGATCAAACTGAAAGGTTTAGCCCTCTGTTTCTCTTTCTGTGTCTTACATCCTGGAAGTGACAGTATAAATGGCCACATGGCTCCATCTCTACATGGAAGAAGCATTATCAACATTGGGTTCTTCTGCTCCACATAAGGATAGCTGTGTTCACCACAGGAGAGATCAAGGCCTGAACACAGAAAAAAGTCCCTTTAGGCAGTCACCTATTTTTCCCTGCTTCTTAGAAATGTCACAACCAAAATGACAGTACATTTTACCTCTGTTAAAGGCATTATCCTCATTTAGATACTGCCGTAGATCTCTGGTTCCCAGAAGTATTTTTATTTATATGGACATATTTAGCTGGGCAGGACAGGAAGCCATCATTCCAGGCTAAAGGACTGAGAAACTGAAATTGTGTAGATTGTTCTTCTCGTGACGTTATGAAGATCCTTTTTATGCTATTTTGAGCCTACTTTCTAAATCCATTTTTATAACGGTCATTTACCTGTGATTCATCGTCCTTCACTGTTCAGAGGTAATCCTTTCATTTGCTTTTGCCACCTCTCATTCTGTGATGTTTGTCACGACATTTAATATCTGTAATCAGCCCAGTCAGCTTTTGATATTTCATGGGTGTGCCAGCTACTGATGCAGTGCATGAAAGCAGAAACTTATACCATAATTGCTATACAGATCTATTATATACATCCAAAGTGTGAATTTACAAGGAAAAGGAGGAACTTATAGGATGGAAATCCCTCATTTCACTGCCTTATGCAGTGCATACACACTAGGACTCAAATCACTCCAATTCTACCATGACCACAGACAGCTCTGATTCACATCAGAAACCAACAGAAATATAATTTTTCTATCATTTGGTGGTACAGTAGAAGAACGCAAATGGATCACATTATAAAACCCCATCTCTTAATTGTAAACAGTCTTCCCTAGAGGTTCTAGCCTCTGTGATACAGAACCATGCTTGGATATTCTTTTTAAGCTTTCACTCTGGTTTGCATGTCTCCTGTTTCTTTTCTCCTTGGCAGAAAGCCAGCTGGAGGAGCGTCTCTGCACTGCAGTGAAAAGCTGCAGCTCTGGAAAGCTACCATCTCAAAAATAAGCAGCAAGTATTAAGACTAAATCACCTGAAAATAGAAGGCACTTCTATCAGCTGGTATGAAAATACCTGAAAATCTTTCACCTTCATGTTTTGTCATCATGTTTTCCCTCCGTGATCTACAATCCTACTTTCATGATAGAATTTATTGTACACTGGTGTTTGTTTGCATGTTTATTGCTTTATTCATGTATTCACCTGCTTCAGTGCAATCCCTCGAGACAAACTAAATTAATGCTGCTACGCACGTTAAACTCACAGAAATAAATTAAACCCTTTTGATGCACTAATCCTCTCTGTTGATGAGATTTATTTCGTAAAGATCATAGCCAGTGGTGTCACCACAATTTTATGTGAAAAAGACCTAGTGCATCATCTCCTAACTTATCTGTTGAGAGCTAGAGCACATTTTGATTAAAGGTCTCAATCTGAGAAAACTCTGTAAGCTAGTAACATCAGTTGTAGCCTGCAAAGATAATTATTCTGGATTTTTCCCCCCTTTCTGTAGTTGGCTTTTTTCCTGATTATCTTCTGTCGGAGTCTTATGACACTATAGATTCACATATGCTTGCCAAAATGCCGGCCATCTGAACTTCTGAGGTTTCAACTGTGTCCTCACTGCAGGCTTGGTGGGTACTAAGGAACAAAACAGGGCAGGACACTGATTTATCTACCCATCAAGCTTCCTAAACCGTAGCTCATTTCTATGGAAATCTTGCAGACTGCAGGGGGCAGAACCTGACACTGTTTTATGAAACACTGCAGGTTATTGCTGACTTCACTCTAGCTGGGTTGCTTTTCCACCCAGCTGCATCAGCACAGGATGGACCTCCCTTTCTTTGTCAGAAAAGACATGGATTTTTCTATCTGAAACTACTTTCTGGTGGTTCTCCCTTGTTCAGCATGCAGAAGTCTCATATTTTGAGTTTACTCAGCTTTTCCACATACTGCATTGAAGTGCTTTGAAGATGTGGCTAGCTAGAACTGACTGTTAGTGATATGGACTTGTGCCCTGAATTAAGGCCCTTTCTGGTCACCCAGGACGTTAAGAGCTCCTATCTACACAGCTGTCTGTCTACACAGCAGTTGACAGCTCACGACAGTTACACTGGCAGCTAGCAAAGTTCAGAGAGATTTTTCTCGTATCTCATGTTTCCGGAATCCAGGAAATCCCATCACTTGCCATTGGAGACCATTACACCTGTCTTTAACTGAACAGGAAGACGAACCACCAGGAAAGAGATGAGGATCTGTCTGTTCTGCTTACTACCAAGTGATGGAGAAGAAAGAAGGAACGAATGTAAACAGTGGCACCCAGCCTAGGCATCTTTCAGCACTACCGACTTCCGTGATTTTATCGTGGATATTGCAACAGCTCAGCACCGGGCATCTAAAAATCTCCGTGGATTTCTGTATTTAAGTAACTCCCTCACACTCAGATCACGAAGGTAAACTGAACTCCCCCCCGAATTATTTATTGTTTCGGAGGCCGTGAGCCCGGCGCCCGGCTTTCAGCACCTGCGCTTGGCAGCTGTACCGCTCTTCCCGCAGCGCCAGAAGAAGGAAGCGCAGCCGTGCCCAGCCGGGGACGAAGAGCCCCGCTTCCCCAGCGCCGGCGGGAGCCCACCGGCGGCCGCCGTCCCGTCAGGGAGGGCGCCCTGCTGCGCGCCTGCGGACGGGCCGGCTTG